AATTACTCTCAAATGAAGCTGATGTTCAGCTTGCTATCTTATCTATTAATGCTCAACAAATCCAGGGCAATCGTCCTGCTGCAGCGATCTACAACGTAGCTGAAGCGACGCTCCGCCGCCGACGCGCTGGGATACCTGCCCGACGCGATTGCCAGCCCAACTCAAGGAAGCTTACCGAGCGAGAGGAGCAGGTGATTATTAGATATATACTCGACTTAGATACACGTGGATTTGCGCCTACGTACGAAGCTGTACGTGATATGGCTGATAAGCTGCTGGCTGCGCGCGGCGCTGGTCAGGTCGGCGTCCACTGGCCGCGCAACTTTGTTAAGCGTACAGACAGTCTTACGACATGTTTCAATCGAGCGTACGATAGGCAGCGAGCTCTATGCGAGGATTCAGCCCTAATTAAGAGCTGGTTTAAGCTTGTAGAGGAGACAAAGGCTAAGTACGGCATCTGCGATGGTGACGTATACAACTTTGACGAGGCCGGCTTCATGATGGGCAAGATCACGACTCAGCTCGTCGTGACAGGGTCAGAGAGGAGAGGCAGGCCAAAGGCTATCCAGCCTGGTAATCGCGAGTGGGTAACGTTGATCGCGGCGATTAACGCTGCTGGCTGGTCAGTCCCACCATTCCTCATCTTCGCTGGCCGGTATCACCTGTCTGCCTGGTATGAGGAGGATATCCCACGCGACTGGGCGATCGCAGTTAGTGACAACGGCTGGACGAATAATGAGCTAGGAGTAGAGTGGCTGAAGCACTTCAACGCTTACACGAAGACTCGCGTTGTTGGTGCGCGTCGCCTGCTCGTCTTTGACGGCCACAAGAGCCACCACTCTCTTGAGTTTCAAGAGCTCTGCAAAGAGAACAATATCTACACGCTCTGTATGCCACCTCACTCATCTCACCTACTCCAGCCTCTTGATGTTGGCTGTTTCTCGCCATTGAAGCGCGCGTACAGCCGTGAGGTAGAGAGCCTGATCCGCCACCACATCAACCACATCACGAAGCTCGAGTTTCTCCCAGCGTTCAAGACAGCGTTTAATCGATCGTTCACGCCAGCCAATATCTGCTCAGCTTTCCGCGGCGCAGGCCTTGTTCCTCTCCAGCCAGACGCTGTCCTCTCGAAGCTAGACGTGCAGCTCCGTACGCCTACTCCAGCTGCTCTACCAGAGGCTCCTTGGGAAGCTTGTACGCCGAGCAACGTACGCGAGCTTGAAGCTCAATCGACGTTAATACGTGAGCGCGTGCGACGGCATAAGAGCTCATCACCAGCTTCGATTATTCAGGCGATTGACCAGCTCAAGAAGGGCGCTGAGGTAATGATGCTCTCAGCCGAGCTAATGCGCGATCGGATTGCCAGCCTTGAGAAGGCTAATGAGGCAGCGTCAGCGCGTAAACAGCGTAAAAAAAAGCGTATACAACAGCGAGGAGTCTTAACAAAGGGAGCTGGCGAGGATATACTCGCTCAACGTGAGGCTGATCAGCAGATTGCTCGTGAGCAGCGTCAAGAAGGAGAGCGATCAGGCGTGAGCCGCCAGGCTCTCGCGCGCTGTAAGAAGTGCAGAGAGACTGGACATAACTCTCGTACGTGCAAGAAAGATACCTTAGATACTGCTTAATCTGCTCTATTAATATCTATATATTATCTTGTAAGGTGGTTGAGATATACGCGTGTAGAGGTGCGCAAAGTTGGTGGGGTGCGTCACTCGCTTGTACGCGTCACTCGCTTGTAAAACATGTTA